TAAAAAAACAAAACTTCAGCAAAGTTTCAGGATACAAGATCAGTGTACAAAAATCAGTAGTATTTCTATACATCAATAAGATTGAGACCCAAGTTAAGAATGCAATCCCACTTTCAAAACTCACACACACAAAAATACCTATAATACATTTAACCAAGGAAGTGAAAGATCTCTAAAAGGAGAACTAGAAAACACTGCTGAAAGAAATCATAGATGACAAGAAACAGAAAAATATTCCATGCTCATGGATTAGAAGAATCAACATCATTAAAATGACCAGACTCCCAAAGCCATCTACAGATTCAGTGCTATTTCTAGCAAACTATCAATGTTATTTTTCACAGAAATAGAAAAAAAAAAAACTATTCTAACAATTTATATGAGAATGAAAAAGAGCCTGTATAGACAAAGCATTTCTATGCAAAACAGGCAAAGGAATAGACAGCACATTACTCAACTTCAAACTAAACTACAGGGTTACAGTAACTGAAACATTATGGTACCAGTACAAAAAATACCAGTACAGAAACAGTCACATAGACCAATGGAGCAGAGTAGAGAACCCAGAAACAAAACTACACACCTACAGGCATCTGATCTTCTACAAAGTCAGCAAAAAATAAGCAATGGGGAAAGGACTCCTAATTCAATAGATGGTGCGGGGTTAGCTGCCTAGCTATATGTCAATGAATGAAACTAGACTTCTCCCTTTCACCATGTCCAAAAATTAACTCAAATGAATTAAAGATTTAAATGTAAGACCTCAAAGCATAGGAATCCTAGAATAAAACCTAGGAAACACCATTCTGTACATTAGCCTTGGGAAATAATTTATGACTAAGTCTTGAAAAGCAATTGCAACAAAAAATTGGAAAAGTGGGACCTAATTAAACAAGCTACTGAAACCCAAAAGAAACTATCAAAAGAGTAAGCAACAACCTACAGAATGTGAGAAACTATTTCTAAACTATGCAACTGACAAAGATCTAATATCCAGAATCAATAAGGAGCTTAATTCAGCAAGCAAAAAGCAAACAATCCCATTAAAAAGTCTGCAAAAGACATGAAAAGAGAGTTCTGAGACATTCAAGCAGCCAAAAAACAGGAAAACACAACTTCACCAATCACCAGAAAAATGCAGATCAAATCACAATGAGACATCATCTCACATCAATCAGAAAGGTTATTTTTTAAAAACCCTTTGCATGTTGTTACTGTTTTTATTCTTTAGCTACCCCAGGTAGCTTCAGTAGTAGTCAGCTCCACTGCCCTGCTAGACCTTCTCTAAATATTAATAGCCAGCATTCTTACAAGAAAGTTTTTACACAAAAGTGGGGAAGATTAAGCTACTGTATGCATTTGTTTGCAATGTGTCGTCTCACAGAACTCATCCTTGTAGCCCCATCGGGGCAGGAGCCCTCTTCATGTGTCTTTATAATGTTTCATAAGGGAGGCCATTTTCCACAGTGCTTCAGCTCTCAAATGCAAGTGGAGCCTGACATAATAAAACTTTGTTTTCATTTTAGCCATGCTGCAGGGAATATATTTCATGTATATTAATAGGTTGTAACAGTTTTCTAGGGCTTTAATAACACAGCACACATACTGAAGGACTCTACAGAAATTTAGTGTCTGGTAATTCTAGAGGCTAGGAATCTGATGTCAAGCTGTTGGCTGAGGTTACTTCTCAGAGGCTACTCTCTTTGGCTAGTAGATGGTCATCTTTTATGTCTGTGGTCACAGGATATTTTCTTGAGCTTCTCTGTGCACCCACTGCTTTTTCTAATGAGGACACCAGTCAAATGGCTGTTACTAAAAAGTCAAAAAGCAACAGATGCTGGGGAAGCTGCAGGGGAAAGGAAACACTTAGACACCATTGATGGGAATATAAATTAGTTCAGCCTTCATAAAAAGCAGTTTGGAGATTTCTCAAAACAGAGCTACCATTCCACCCAGAAATCCCATTACTAGGTATATATCCAAAAGAAAATAAATCATTCTACCAAAAAGATACCTACACTCATATGTTCATCATAGCACTATTCACCATAGCAAAGACATGGAATCTACCTAGGTGCCCATTAATGGTGGAGTGGATAAAGAAAACAAGGTATATGTACACCATGGAATACTATACAGCCATAAAAAATAATGAAATAATGTTCTTCCCAGAAACATGAATGCAGCTGGAGGCCATTATCCTAAGCGAATTAATGCAGGAACAGAAAACCAATACTGCATGTTCTCACTTTTAAGTGGGAACTAAACAATGGGTATTCATTAAAATAAAGATAGAAATAATAGACACTGGGGATTACTAGAGGGGGAAGGAAGGAAGGGGGTGAGGGGGAAGGAAGGGAGGGGTAAGGATTGAAAAACTAAGCGTTGGGTTCTATTTGGGCTCACCATTTGGGTGATGGGATCATTCATATTCCAAACCTCAGCATTGCACAGTATACCCATGTAACAAAACTGCACATGTACTCCCTGACTCTAAAATAAAAGTTTAAATTATAAAAGAAGAGAGTTTCTAGGAAGTATATTTTTTAAGTATTTCAAAGGAAAATAAAATGTAATAGGGATATGATTCACTGAGGTTTGATTATTAAGTACTGAATAATGAAGTTTTGACTATGTTTTCACATGAATGAGTTATATGGAATTATGCTAAATTACTTTCAGAAACATAATAGCATGCACCAAGATGTCTGGAGATTAAAGTGGCGTTCAGATGATGGACTTTGAAGCTATGTTTTGATAACCAAACTCTAATTTAATGAAATCACAATTTGTCAAAAATTCAACAATACTGGGATATATATTTTGAAATATAGTAAACTCTATACTGGCAAACATTTAGTAAATACTGATTTGCACCTTCCAAAACATGTTTTTCTCTGATCAAAATCAAGTTTGTGATTTCGCAAACTGAGAGGTGGAAAAAAAGTTGGAAGAATTGGAAGAAAAATAATTCATATAAAGTTAAGAAACCTACTAATAAGTAATGTGGGGTTTATGTCATTACTCTAAAATGGAATCTGGACTATTAACCCATAGGATGATTAAACTAACACCTCTATACCACATCTTGTATTTAAATTGATTTTTGTTATCACAAGCATTGTTTAGGTTGTAGTAATTGCTATTAGCTCTCCTAATTAGATACTTGAATTTAATTCAATTATTTTTGTTAGGGGCTATGCTAAAATATTCAAGCTGTCTTTAAGAATTAAAGGGAAGTTTCAAAGTAAACATTTAAAATAGAAGTCATAGGAGACATGCTATAGTTGTTTTTTCAAATTCAGAAAGCTGAGGCAGCACATTCACAAAATGTGAGTAGAGAGATGAAGATGGATTAAGTCGGGATTTAAAAATGAGATATGCTGTTGTTGCTCAATTGCAGAAAGACATTAATACTTATGAGTCTCTTTTTTGTTTATCTCCATGGATGTCCTATAATTGGGTCATCTATATTTTCAGCAGTTAAAGCCTGATATTTCTTGTGGCGTATGAATGTTGTAAATTCTTTTCACTACTTTTTGTTGTACTATTCTTGTGAAAGTCATACCGTGACAAAATTCTATCAGTAAAAAATTCGAACCTGTGTGGAATACAGAGTATTACATAAATCCAACAAAATAATTTGCAGACTAAAAAGTCATCTCAATAAAACTTTCATAATATTTGTATCAATCAATGACTAAAATGTGTGCCTTTTAAAGATTTTAAAATAAATTGCATTGATTTCATTATTTTTCTATTGCTGAGATTTTTTTAAATGAGAATGTTGTTGAACTGGCATGCAAGCCTAGGCTTCAATTGACCATCTATTTTCTAAAGATGAATAATGGAATGACCAGACCCTAACTACCTTGAGTTCAAATCTTGGCTTCCCTTTCAGTTTCACCTGGGTGATTTGAGAAATTAACTTACTCTCCCTTATCTAGAGAATGGGGTATATAATCATACCTGCCCCATAGAATTGTTATGAGAATTAAATGAGTTAATATATGTAAAACATTTGGAACTGGACTGGTATCTAGTAACCCCTCTATAAATACTAGCTACTATTATGTGTAAAAGAGATCCCCTAAATAGATTTATACATAGGTACCCAGAGTTGGTTTGGATTGAAAGATGTGTCCTCATGATAAGTTGATCGAGCAAATGGAGATTTAGATGCAAAAATCAATCATTTAATCAATTTTCAAAGATTTGGAGACAAGAAAAGACTGAGACATTGAAGCAGGTTGTTTTTTCAGTTCCTTTTAAGTTTTTTATTATTCAGTCAAACAGTTTATAGAGCTTTCACGAAGTGCCAGGCCCTGAGCCAGATGCTAGAGTTTCAAAGCCCTTGGCCCCAGGGATCTATGGTTTATTGAAAGAGAGACAAGGAAGCACACTATTCTAAAACAGCATGGTGAGAGCCACGATAGAAGGAATTGTGGGTGCTGCAGGTGCCTCAGTGTCCACAGCAAGCAGATAACCCAGGTACCGGCAGGGTGCTGCAAGGAGGAGTGGGATGAAGCCTTCCCAGTGGAGGGAGACCAGGACTCCAGTGAGCGGGCCAGCAGTGGATATCATGAACAGGAGGAAGAAAGCATCCTGCCCCTAGTGGGCTCCCCATTGGTATGCCTCTAGCCATCACACATGGGGCAAGGAAGTAGCAAGGGTCTGCTGCCTACAAAGTCAACAAAGGGGAAATTTACCTAACTCATCTGGAATTGGTCTAACAGAAAAATTATTCCAAAATTCTTTGGTAGTTCTATGGCTTGATGTTTATAAAGGCTTTCAGAGGCAGCCGGCCTTTTTATAAAGCACCATACTGTGTGCATTTAGTGAGGAGTGAGCAGTGCGGCTGTGGACCAGCGGGTAGAAGTTACAGAGAGCAAAAAAGGGAGGAGCAAGCCTCAGGTTGAACTGACCAACCTAGAAAAAGGTTGAGCATATTGCTTTACACATATATGATGACCCAGGAACTTTTCTTTGGTTAATTTCAGCTCCCTCAGAGGCCCCTGATGTCTGGAGAAATGTGAACTCAGAACCAGGAAGTCACATTGTGACCTTATTCTGGAAGGTAAGATGTGCAGATTCCAAAAGCCACATTTGTGGAAACAAATATGTCTTCCTCTGTAGAACGGTGGATTGGTTCAATGTCTTTTTTTTTTTGAGACGGAGTTTCGCTCTTGTTACCCAGGCTGGGGTGCAATGGCGCGATCTTGGCTCACTGCAACCTCCGCCACCTGGGTTCAGGCAATTCTCCTGCCTCAGCCTTCTGAGTAGCTGGGATTACAGGCACGCGCCACCATGCCCAGCTAATTTTTTGTATTTTTAGTAGAGACGGGGTTTCACCATGTTGACCAGGATGGTCTCGATCTGTTGACCTCGTGATCCACCCGCCTGGGCCTCCCAAAGTGCTGGGATTACAGGCTTGAGCCACGGTGCCCGGCCTAGTTCAACGTCTTAACTGGAAGGCATCTTCACATTCATCCAATGGAGTTTCTTACCTAGTAGAAGAATCCTACTCCACTTTTTTGACAGCTCATGCCACTGATTGCCAGTTCTGACTGGTAGAACATTTTCTCTGCAACTTCAACTCAGGCCAGCCCTTATTTTTGCAGGGCCCAGACCACCACATATCCTAATTAAAGGTTACACATATTTCAAGGCTGGGCGTGGTGCTCACACCTGTAATCCCAGCACTTTGGGAGGCTGAGGTGGGTGGATCACGAGGTCAGGAGATCAAGACCAGCCTGACCAACATGGTGAAACCCTGTCTCTACTAAAAATATGAAAAATAGGTGGATGTGGTGGCGCATGCCTGTAATCCCAGCTACTCGGGAGGCTGAAGCAGGAGAATCTATTGAACTTGGGAAGCGGAGGTTGCAGTGAGCCGAGATCACGCCACTGCACTCCAGCCTGGGTGACAGAAAAACTCCATCTTGAAAAAAAAGAAGAGTTACACATATTTAAACATTCATACTATTTATATTTAAAAGTTACAAATCAAGCTTAAACATTGTAATATAAATTTTATCCTTCTATCTTGCCTAATATACCTTCATGACAATCTGGAAGGCCAGGTTTGTATTCTGAACTCTAGGATGCGTCATTTTCACATGGAAACATGGTGGTGCTGGGAGAGTGGGCTCTAGTGGCAGCCTACCCTGCTTTTTTCCACCTTTAGTTTGGCACACTCTGCAAGGATCTCTGTGCACAGACATGTGGACATGCCAGTCTGCAAGTCCGGATTCTGTCCACACCCCAAGCAGATAGCCACTCCCAGCCCACTCTCAGGTCTGGTGGTACACACGCCAGGGAGGGGGAGGCCTGAGGAACAGACCCTGCAAGTGTGGTCAGGAATTTCTCTGCAACCTGAGGATTATCCAGAGGAGGGCTCTGAGTATGAAGAGCAGCTAATCCCTGTACAGCTGCACGGTGACAGCACAGCTGGAGGTGGGGTGAGGCCAGGACTCAGGCTTCTCTGGCAGGGTGGCATTGTTTGTACTCATTGCTTTTCTACCCTTGGCTACCCCTTACATCTTTCTTTCTGCCAAGTTAAAGAGTCTGTTCCTTGTGATTCCTGACCTGAGCACTCTTCTCAGGACACATAATACTCTTGAGGCTCTTAACTCCAAATGATCCTCTTCTCTACTCACCTTCAGTTAGATTCCAGTGTCTGATTTCAGGCTTGGTTGAGAGGGTTATATTCTCTGTTAAGCTGTTTGAATTTGCTGGTGTGTGTGTGTGTGTGTGTTTGTGTGTGTGTGTGTGTGTGTGGGAGTTGAGGGACAGAAAAGATAAAAAGAGAATTGTACAAACTCTTTTCACTTAAAACCCTTTTTAAAATGTTTATCAATATTTTTCAGCCTTTATCAAAATTGCATGCCAATGGAAAGATCCTGTTCTACAATGTAGTTGTAGAAAATCTAGACAAACCATCCAAGTCAGAGCTCCATTCCGTTCCTGCACCGGCCAAAAGCACAAAACTCACTCTCGACCGGCATTCCTATGAAATCTGGGTCACAGCCAACAACAGTGTGGGCGCCTCTCCTGCTTCTATAATAGTCATCTCTGCAGACCCTGAAAACCGTGAGTTTTTCATTTCTTTTCTCATTCTCTAGGAAAATGTTGACGTTATAAAGTAGTGATAGATAATTGAGAAGACAATAACTTAAGAAGACAAAATGTCTAGTCACCAAACAGTCATTTTCTTTTGGGCCAAGTGTGTCAACATGTTTCAGTGGGACAGTCCCTTCAGTGTGGGGAGGAGACTTTAGCCATGGTTCAGGACATTTCTGTCTAGGGGATTCTTCAACATACTTGGGGAAATTAGCTCAGGTTTATTCAAGTAAATGCATCCCAACAAACAGTCACCACTGAGAGTTGGAGTTAATTTTCATGAGCTTTGTGGCTTGTGAAATAGGATTGCATTTACTATTTTGTAAAAAGTGTTTTCGGTCTTTGTACCTGGAAAGAGTCCATGAACATTTCCAGAGATCACCAGAACTGGTGTCACCTTTCACCAGGGGCTCAGTTAACATTATAGAATAAAAGGGCTGGGCCCAGTGGCTCATGCCTATAATTTCAGCACTTTGGGAGGCCAAGGCAGGTGGATCATGAGGTCAAGAGTTCGAGACCATCCTGGTCAACAAGGTGAAACCCCATCTCTACTAAAAGTACAAAAAATTAGCTGGGCATGGTGGTGCACGCCTGTAGTCCCAGCTACTTGGGAGGCTGAGGCAGGAGAATTACTTGAACCCAGGAGGCTGAGGTTGTGGTGAGCCGAGATCGTGTCATTGCACTCCAGCCTGGGTAACAAGAGCGAAACTCTGTCTCAAAAAAAAAAGAATAAAAGATAATAACTGGCTAATCTCTTGCCTATGAAAGAGCAAACAGGGGCCTTCCATGCCAAATCAATAGTGATATTAATTTCCTTCTTAGAGAGCCATAAAAAGAGTCAGCCTCACAGTTACACGCTATGAGATGATACACACATGTGCATACATAATGCAGTTGGCAAGTGGCATCCTAGGATCATTCACGAACCTTGCAATAGTATCACCCTTCAGTTCCTGCTATTAAAATTTCTAGACCCTGCTTATGAGGTTATGGTAGGTTCTATGATACGTATTTATTCAAGTTCAGCTTAAATTTGGGTTAAGTACATTGAATTAGAGGATGTTTTATTTATTTATTTGAAAATAAATAATAAATAAATAAACTCCAGGCTAGAGTGCAGTGGCACTATCTTGGTTCACTGCAACCTCTACCTCCTGGGTTCAAGCAATTCTCCTGCCCCAGCCTCCCGAATAGCTAGAATTATAGGCCCCTGCCAGAACGCATGACAATTTTTTTTTTTTTGCATTTTTAATAGAAACCGGGTTTCACCATAATGGCCAGGCTGATCTCAAAGTCCTGACCTTAGGGGGTCCACCCGCCTTGGCCTCCCAAAATGCTGGGATTAAAAGTGTGAGCCATTGTGCCCAGCCAGTTTTATTTTTATGGTTTTTTTGTTTTGTTTTGTTTTTTGAGACGGAGTTCGCTCGTTACCCTGGCTGGAGCAATGGCGTGATCTCGGCTCACCGCAACCTCCGCCTCCTAGGTTCAGGCAATTCTCCTGCCTCAGCCTCCTGAGTAGCTGGGATTACAGGCACATGCCACCATGCCCAGCTAATTTTTTGTATTTTTAGTAGTGACAGGGTTTCACCATGTTGACCAGGATGGTCTTGATCTCTTGACCTTGGGATTCACCCGCCTCGGCCTCCCGAAGTGCTGGGATTACAGGCACGAGCCACCGTGCCCATCCCTTATTTTTATGTTTTTTAAAGAACTATCCAGTATGTATCAGATGAGGAAAAGAAATTATATTGTGCCATAGAAGAAAAGCTCTAGGAGTTGGTTTAGGAGTTGTTTAGTGTAACCTTTGCTTTCTGAAGAACTGTATTAAAGAAGTTATATTCTGACTGCATTAGCATCTGAACAGGAAAAGGGGACATTTCATTGCACCTGGGGGAGCTGATACTGTTGCTTTTGAATGGTCTCAGGTGAGTCCAAAGCAACACTGCTGAGAGCAATTATGTATTTTGGGGTCTCCTACCATACCCTCCATCCCCATGCCCTGCCCTCAGATGCCTAGACCTTCCATTGTGAGACTCCAGCTAGTTATCCTTAAGTGCTCTATGTTTCCTGAGGGTGCGAATGACTGACAAAAAGATTTCCCTACTCTTTCATTTACCTCCATCTCTCAAAACATATTTTCAAATTTAAAGAAGCAGATTTCTAAGAGTTTTAACCCTGGTTTTGGAGTTAAATTTTACTCAGCATCAATAAGTAAAGTGAAGTCAGCCTTAATATGTGAGGGGCATTTGTTCGCTTGATGGAGGAAGGCAGGGAAGCCATGTGGATGGGATCTGTAATGCCCTCCTGGGCTTTTACCTTTTACCTAGGGCTACGCATTCCTTTGGGTGCCCCCAGCTGGATGACATTTGGATGCCCTTTAAAAATGAATCAGTTGTAATTAGGGTTGCCAGATAAAATGCAGGATGCCCAGCTAAATATGAATTACAGACAAACAATAAATCAGTTCTTAGTGTAAGTCTGTGGAAAGAGGAGAAATTCACGTGCCTTAAGATTAAGGTATCCCCTTGTTGGAACTCAGGAGTTCCCTGAGGTCGTGTCACCCTTTTTCCAGTTGTCAGACATCAGGAAACCTACTTTAACTTATAAAATAGCTTGAGATGGCAGCATTAGTCATAAACTGTGTGCATATCCTTATATAACCCAACCTTTTATACACCTGAATGTTGTCTTCTTGTCTTCAACTCACTTCCTACCCCTAACACCTCATAAGCAGTATCTACTTCAGGGGCAACTGACACTATTGTGGGAGAATCAACCTGCATTAGTTATTCATTCAACAGGTGTTTTTTGAAGCTGATCCAGTACCTAATACCAGATTGTAGATCAAGGATCAACAAATTTTGTGGTAAAGGGGCAGATAGCAAACCTTTTTGCAGGTCATACAGTCACCATCACATATTCTATTATATACATTCTTGTTGGTTTATTTGTATTTTTGCAACTCTTAAAAAGTCTTAGAACCATTCTCAGCTCAAGGGTCATATGAAAACAACCCTCAGAGGCTACAATCATCCTACTGGTGGTAGTTTGCTGACCCCTGTCCTAGGTGCTGAAGTTGGTTGGGCGTCAGAAGGTCAACATGATGGGCATCTGAAGGGCAGGTGTGAATGTTTGCTGGGAAGTAAGAGGCAGGAACTCACCCATTGAAGCATCCCCCACCCAAGTACCTGTAACTATTGAAGTGAAGGTCTGTTACATACTAGATACAGTGCATGTATATGTTTACTTTCTACCTTACACACTTAAAGCACTTTACGGTTAACTAAATCTGGATCGTTGCTCTATCAGAGTGCATGTATATATTTATTTTCTACCTTACACACTTAGAACAATTTACAGTTAATTAAATCTGGATCATTGCTTTATTTGTTTATATACAGAAGAGGTTGAGGAAGAAAGAATTGCAGACACAGAGGGTCGATTCTCTCTGTCTTGGAAACCCCAACCTGGAGATGTTGTAGGCTATGTTGTGGACTGGTGTGACCATCCCCAGTATACACTCTGTGATCTCCAGTGGAAGAATGTAGGTCCCAATGCCACAAGCACAGTCATTAGCACAGGTAAGAGGAACCTTCAATATCGTCACATTACTATATTCACCATGAAGCAAATTCCAGTGGGATCTCTGGACTGTTTCACAGACTTTGACTATGTTAAGCTAATACTTTTGAAAAGACAAATCCAGCATGGGTGTTAGGAGTTCAGATGTTACAAGAATATGTTCTAAAACTTGCCCTTTAAATCTGCTTTTGCAGAGAATATCTGAACATGAGGTGGGAATTGATTTTCATAAGCTTGTTTCTCTAAATTAGTGCCTAGTCTCCAATGGCAGAGGGACATTATAACAGTTGTCCAGAGAGCTTTTACAAAAGCAGAGACTTGCATGGATTTAAGATGTTTAAGACATAGAGTTGATGAGAGTCAATCATCAACTTCAGTTTCAATAGAACATGTAGATCTTGTTCTCTTACCTCCCACGTTGGATATGTAATGTGAAGATTGCTAGTTTAGCCGTCAGAGCAGCATAGGTTTGTGTGGTTTGAGCTGGAGGGGTGGGTGGCGCCATCTACTGGGCTCAGGGAAAGGTGTGGAAAATGTCCCTCTTCAGAGAGTGATCCACCAATTTCAGTGGTATGGTGGTTTCGGGAAGGAGTTTGCTGAGGTAAAGGTGTGAGAGGGAAATGAGGAAGGGAATGCAAAGCTTTCAAGACTATTGGCTTTAATGGGAAAAAGGAAGACAAGGAACTGGAAGGGGATTTGGAGTCAAAGAAAGGTTTGAATGGTTTTCTGTGTCTGGTCTGATTCTGCACCCGGTTCTATGCACATGGATACAGGCATGTTTGACAGCTCTTACTTCAGAGGATACTACAGAGACCAGTCCCTGCAGGCTTTGCTGGAGACAAGACAGTGGGGCCAGATGTTTGCAACATGGAGGACTCCAAGGCTTCATGGAAGGAGGGAATATGATGGGGATGAAATGCAAAATTCCTGAAAGGCCATTATTAGAGGAGCAGAAATTTATTTATTTTTTCTTTTTTTTGAGACAAACTGTTGATCTGCTACCCAGGCTGGAGTGCAGTGGCTTGATCTCAGCTCACTGCACCTCTGCCTCTTGGGTTCAAGTGATTCTCCTGTCTCAGCCTCCCCAGTAGCTGGCATTACAGGCGCCCACTATTACGCCCGGCTAATTTTTGTATTTTTAGTGGCGACAGAGTTTCACCATGTTGGCCAGGCTGGTCTCCAACTCCTGGCCTCAAGTGATCAGCCTGCCTCAGCCTCCCAGAGTGTGGAATTACAGGTGTGAGCCACAGTGCCACACCTTTTCACTCTTCTCTATTTTTTTTTTTCAGAATTAGGAAACATCATTTTTTGTTATTAAAAATCTGTTGACTTTTTTCCCCTAGATGCTTTTAGGCCAGGAGTTCGATACAACTTCAGAATTTATGGGTTATCTACAAAAAGAATTGCTTGTTTATTAGAGAAGAAAACAGGATACTCTCAGGAACTTGGTAAGTTCAAAGTATTTAATGTGCCCCATGTGTAGACTTGTTCAGAACAATTCATAGATTCCTAGCTTTTGGTTTAGGAAGATGTCAGCACCATACCCAATTTTTGGTGTCCCATTTATTCTAGCAATTGGGGTTTTTAAATTATTTTTTAATCATAGTAACGTGAAATATTTTCATTAATTCTTATTGCTAAGTTTCTCGCTCTTATACCCTAGCATACAAATCAGACCAGTTCTCAGGGGTTCTTCCTTTAGCAGGAGCTGACCCACAGTTTATAGTTGGGTCAGAGCAGGCAGGAGGAATGTGACCTTTTGTGCACAGTCCAAGTGTGCATAAGCGTGGATAGGAAAATGGCTTAGCAAAGCCTCAAAGTAAACATTCCTGGATTGTTTTTTAGTGACACTTGGATAACTATGCACTGCCACAACCTCCCCTCCCCCCCCCCCTCCCCTCCCCTCCCCTCCTCTCCCCTCCCCTCCCCTTCCCTTTTTTTGTTTTGGCTTTGTAATTGTGTGCAAGTTATTTAGTCTCTGGGTGTCCATTCTTCATCTGCAAAAGGCAAGACTTGAACAAGATTGCTCAACTCCTTCACAGCTCTCATAAACTGTCAAGGTACAAATCCTCTAGAGAAACAGATAAAACTCCTTAACTTAGCATAAGCTCTTACAACTTCCAGAGCTGGCTGTGGTTCTTGTATTAGTTGACATGAGTGTTCTGAGACTATTTCCAAATCATGACTTTTCTCTTATCCCAACTTTTTTTCCTAGCTCCTTCAGACAACCCTCACATGCTGGTAGATAAGTTGACATCCCATTCCTTCACTCTGAGTTGGAAATATTACTCCACTGAATCTCAACCTGGTTTTATACAGGGGTATCATGTCTATCTGAAATCCAAGGCGAGACAGTGCCATCCACGATTTGAAAGGGCAGTTCTTACAGGTGACTTGTATTTTTAATTAATTTATTAAGATCTCATTATTTGAAATCATTGAAAATAATGGCTGCCATTTCAGACTGGCCAGGCTTAATTCTCTTCTTGCATGACTTTATACTGAAAGGTATTCTTAAGCAAATTAGTAGGCTGAACAAGATGGTGGGGGCAGCATTTTAACTTACTTAAAAAACAAAGTGACCTGGTATTTTTAGAAGCATCCGAAGCACCATCAGCTCCTTAACAAAGCCTGCCCTTTTATGAAACTTTTTTTTTCACTTTATTGAGCATTGTTTCAGTTTACTTTTAAGCCCCTTGCAAGCTCTTACTATTTCTTACAGATTTGTATGCTCTACCTGGTTCATTAGTACCCATTGTTCAATGGCTTTTTGCTTTTTGTGCCATCTCCTGAACATTTTACCCAGTGTACCCACGGTGATACAATTATGCTTTGATTTTTGTTTTTGGTATAAACATGTTGATGGTGCTGAGTTAACAAGAGTATCAGTGTCCAACTCTCTCACAAGACATTCACCACACTTTTAATAAAATATTGTTTTCCTTGAAAAAAAAAATTTAAATCACAGATGGTTCAGAATGTTGCAAATACAAAATTGACAACCCAGAAGAAAAGGCATTGATTGTGGACAACCTAAAGCCGAAATCCGTCTATGAGATTTTCGTCACTCCATTCACTAGTGCTGGTGAGGGCCCCAATGCTACGTTCACGAAGGTCACCACTCCGGATGAACACTGTGAGTTTTCCCAAATCAAAGCTCTTCCCTTAGGAGTTTCTGGAAAACTAACAAATTACAGAAGTGTTGACTTAGGCTTTATCTAGATGAGGAATTTTCAAATCTTTTTTCTCCCCATCTTACCTCCCTCTTTCTCTCAATGAAACCCTTTGTTTCACCAAAAAAAGGGTTGCACAGACTCTCACTACATAAAACTGATATAAATGGAGCTAATTTGACTGATTAAGGCCTAGAATCTTCCTTCTGCCTCCCTCAGTGGCCCTTGAGACAGTTCTCTGGAACTCAGTCTTACTATCCTGTATGTAGTTTGCAAATCACAGATAGCGTATTTTAGTGTTGATATCAGAAGAGCCACAAGGCTTCTGCCTAGAGAAGAGTGGTGCTGGTTTTCTTAGCAGAATTGTTCTCTGGAGCCAGCTTTCCTCTGACTAGTTTCCCTCAGCAGCAAACAAATTGCTTCTTGATTCTGCCAGGGCCTTTAGGGGCAATTAGAGATTGATGCAGTGGGGTGGGAATTGGGCAGAGGCATGGAGTACTTGCTCCCAAACTCCCTGTTTGCATATTTTGGAAATGTTGACGTGGAGAGAGAGATAGATCTTTTCAAAAATGCATTTGGCTTAAAAGATGGAGAAATAAGAGGGAATGGAGAAAAACAGTAAGAACTGGTTGATGGAAACATTTATTCTCATGGCAAACCCTGACATCCAATAAACAGGAATGTGGTGAGAGAAAGTAGATACTGATGGAGGAAAGAGGAGAAAAGAGTATCTTCAATAAGAGGATCATAGAAGGTCCTGGAAGGCACTCATGAAAAGCAAATAGATTCAAAAGGCTTGCTTGAAGTTACCACCTTTCCTTAGTATAAGGTGCTCTCACTGAAGCTGGAGCTGTAGAGATGGGCACATTCTGTTGGACTGCTGACCCTGGAATGCTCTGACTGGTGATTCGGACACACGTGGCTGCAGTGGCAGTGTATCAGTCCAGTCTCACACTTCTATAAAGAACTACTTGAGAGTAACTTCTAAAGTAAAGAAGTTTAGTTGACTCACAGTTCCACATGGGCTGGGGAGGCCTCAGGAAACGTAACAATCATGGCAGAGGGAAGCAAACACATCCTTCTTCACGTGGTGGAAGGAGAGATAGGTGCTGAGCAAAGGGGGAAAAGCACCTTATAAAACCATCAGATCTTGTAAAAACTCATTCACTGTCATGAGAACAGCATGGGGATAAACACCCCCATGATTCAATTGCCTCTCACTGCCTCCCTCCAAGGACACGTGGGGATTATGGGAGCTGAAATTGGAAATTTGGGTGGGGACACTGCCAAACCATATCATTCCACTCCTGGCCCCTTCCAAACCTCATGCCCTCACTTTTCAAAACATGATTATTCCTTTCCAACAGTCCCCCAAAGTCTTAGCTCATTCCAGTATTAACCCAAAAGTCCAAGTCCAAAGTCTAATCTGAGACAAGGCAAGTCCTTCCACCTATGAGCCTGTAAAATTAAAAGCAAGTTAGTTGTTTCCTAGATACAGTGGGAGTACAGTCATTCGGTACATACATCCATTCTAAATGGGAGAAATTGGCCAAAACATAGGAACTACAGGCCTCAGCCCTCATGCAAGTTCAAAATCCAGTAGGGCAGTCATTAAACCGTAAAGTTCCAAAACTCTCAGAGGTTTGATCTCCTTGGATTCCATGTCTCACATCTGGGTCATGCTGATGTAAGAGATATGCTTCTATGGTCTTGGGTAGCTCTGCCTCTGTGGCTCTGCAGGGTAGAAACCCCTTCTGGCTGATTTCATGGGCTGGCATTGAGTGTCTGCAGCTTTTCTAAGCACATGGTACAAACTGTTGGTGGATCTACCATTCTGGAGCCTGGAGGATGGTGTCCTCCTTCTTACAGCTCCACTAGGCAGTGCCACAGTGGGGACTCTGTGGGGGGGACTCCAACTCCATATTTCCCTTCCACACTGCTTGTGACTATTGATTATATTAGTATTTGAAATATTTGCAACTTTCCTGACAGAAATTTTACTTTTTATAAAAAAAATAGGTAGAATATTTTGTGTCTAGCATCCAATTAACTGTACCTCAGATCGTGTTAGATGGGAGTAAGGTATCTGCTGCAATGAGGCTGGAATGATTAAACAGTAAAAACAAAAAAAACAAATGCAAAAAATTAATGTAATATTGAAATTGCAAAGTAGTGAATAAATGCTTATTCTATTGGTACTTTTCAAAATAATCCTTTCTCATTGTAAATTGGTTTGTTAACTTTTTCTTTGATTAGAAGACTAGGTTATTAGATAGAGATAATGAGGCACAGAGAGGGTAAGCAATTTGTTTAAATGTATGGGGTGTCTACACCAACTGTGATTTGTGTTTTTATATTTGGACATTTGGCGCTACATTTCCTTGTGAATTTCACAGGCAATACTGAATCATTTTTTCAGTCTCAGATACGGAAGTAGATTATGTTTCCAAAGTTTGTGTTTAAAATTAGCTGAAAATAGCTGACATGAAAAATACCAAGTGTTGATGAGGATATAGAAAAACTGGAACTCCCACACCTTGCTGGTAGAAGTAAATTGGTACAAGCAATTTTGGAAAATTCTTTAGTAGTATCTTCTAAAATGAGCATATATAAACCCTAGATGTGAGAACCTTCACTTCTAGGTATATATGCCCCCCAAATGCCTACATAAACCCTAAGGAAATACCTGAAGACATATACTAGAATGTTCATGACAGCACAACTCATGAGAGCTTCACACTGGAAATACCAGTTACCCCTCAAATAGAAAAGATAAATAATTGTGGTATATTTACACAATGGAATATCATGCAGCAATGAGAATGAACACTTCACATTTACAGAAATAATATGACTGAATCTCACAAATGTAAGGCTGAGTGGAAAAAGCCAGACATGACTCTTGCCCTGTAATTCCATCTGTAAAGTATAGAAAAAGGCAAATGCTCTGTGCTGTGAAAGGATAGGCTAGTGGTTGCCTTCGGAGGGAATTACGACTGGATGGGGACACAAGAGGACCTTGCTAGGAAGCCATAATGTTGTTGTCTGGATCTGGGTACTGGTCACATGGGTGTGATCAATTTGTGAAAATTCATTGAGCTGTATACACTTATCAGCATTTTTCTTCATGTATATATTATACTTCAATAAAAAGTTTAGCGGCTGGGAGCAGTGGCTCACGCCTATAATCCCAGCACTTTGGGAGGCTGAGGCAGGTGGATCATGAGGTCAAGAGATTGAGACCATCCTGGTCAACAAGGTGAAACCCTGTCTCTACTAAAAATACAAAAATTAGCTGGGCATGGTGGTGTGCACCTGTAGTCCCAGCTACTCAGGAGGCTGAGGCAGGAGAATTGCTTGAACCCAGAAGGCGGAGGTTGCGGTGAGCCGAGATCGTGCCATTGCACTCCAGTCTGGGTAACAACAGCGAAACTCCGTCTCAAAATAAATAAATATAAAAAGTTTAGCAAACCAGTCTGAAATTTGGAAATATGGTTGGGTTCTCAGGCTTGCCTTCAAATACATTAAAAACCCATAACTTAATCAAATTTTAAAACCAATAGTAGTGATTGTTAAAGGAAAATAAAATTCACTATGCAAAGGAAAAAAATAAGCTGAAAGCTGATTCATGCAAGAAGCTACCTCTTCTTTTGTTTCTAAGCAGACAGGTAGTGTAAAAGGTTAAATATCTCCACAGGTACCTACTCTATGTTTACCTTATCTTATCTTAGCCTCTCCAGAAAGATGAATACATAATTGACTGGTCTTCTGCCTGTTCCTTTTCTCTTGAAACCTCTAAATAACCATACCCCCACCTTTCTCCTTCGGTCCCTTTAAATATTGAAGCCCTCAAAATTATAGTTGGAGAAAGGCACAGACCACATAATGTTTCTGTGGTTTTCTTTATTTCTTCCTGTTACATCCTTCACTTTGGCAAAATAAACTTCTAAATTGATGGAGACCTGTCTCAGATACTTTTTGGTTTACATGATCAAAAGTACTGTTCTTGAGAGCAAGGTCTTCCGCAGTGAGATTCAGAGAGAGTTTCTTTCCCCTTCCAGGGCCAGGGTTAGTTTTACGCCAGTTGTTGAGGTGCTTGCTTTGGCCCTCTCTTACCTTTCTGGGTTACTTTCCCTAGAACCCTGTGTTGCCTCATAGCACTAGTGTGTGCATCTACCCAGGGCCACCTTTCTTTACAAAATTCCAATATTACCCACCACACTACTGTTCCCAAATCAAGCCGCATTTCTTCCAGGACAGCCAGGTGTGGGGTGGAGCATGGAGAGGGCAGCGGAAGCAAATGGATTGAACAGAATCATATGTACATGTGAATAACTCTTAACCCCGCAGACCCTCCCTGAGCAATTTACATTTGTGAAAGGGAGTGTTTACCAACACAGCTGGATTATTATTTGGTGGAAATTGCAAGTAGTGGGAACAGGAAGATGGTGTCAATCTAACATCAGAGAGATACTCTGTAAAAGAAAAGATGTTTATTTAGGACTGAGGATTGCAAAGGAAATAAACAAACCATAGTAAACTATGTTCCTATTCAGGGAGGTAAAGGAAGACAAAGTTTTTTTTTCAAAAAAAGGAGGATTATATAATTGCTTTGAAATAATTATTCTTGACTACAAAGATTAATAACAAGGTGATGCCAGTTCAAGGTTGGATGGGAGATGTCCTTGCAGAAGCATTGTGGACCTTTGTGCAAGGTTGTGGTTTTTGTAGTGTTTTTTGTTATCTTCAAATCCTTTCCAGCTCTTTTTGTCAGGGTTTCCTACCATTAATGATTCCATTTTGATTCTAAGAACTTTCACAATGGGCATTTGAAATAAATGAAGCAGCAGTTGAGAAATAAATATAATCATTATCCCAGATTAAGATATATTTAGGTAATCTGATGCTAAGTAGAAGCAGCGTACTAGTCAATTTTTGATGTGTAACAAATACCCTCAAAAGCTCAGTAGCATACCAGAACAAATATTTCTTTTTGTGCTCATGAATTTACAGGTCAGCTGAAATTGGCTGATCTAGGCTGGGCTAAGCTGGACTCCCAAGTTCAGTCAGGTTCAGGTTTGTTTCACATAGTTTCATTCTAGGGCTAAGGCCGAAGGTGCAGCAACTACCTGGGGCACACACTTCTCATCTTGGATTACAGGAGCACAAGAGGGCAAGCCAATGTATGCATGTACATTTAAAGCCCTTACTTACAATTACCAACAGCCCATTGGCCAAGGCAAGGCACATGGCTGAGCCCCAAGTCAAGGGACAGGAAAATATTCTCAGCCTACCATGAAGTTTTGGCAGGAGTGGAAAAGTATAATTTTAATACAGCAAGTCATGATCCAGTCTATCAAAAGAGGTAACAAATTTGAGTCACAAACAATGTTGATGGCAAATGGCTTCCTGTGTGGATGGCTAGTGGCTAGTTGGCTTTTCCCTTGAAGTTAGGCAGAACTCAAGTTATATTGCAACTTGAATAAATAATTTGAGAAATAATAAATGTAAAATTACTCTCAATCATACATTTATTTTTATTCCTTTGAGGGAAGGAAAAATACTGATTAAAAATGTCCCTTTCTTTTTCCTTGTTCAGCCTCGATGCTGATTTACATCCTACTGCCGATGTCTTTCTGCGTCTTGCTCATCATGATCGGGTGCTACTTGAAAAGTCAGTGGTAAGTGTGTGAGGAAGGTTTCATCCAAGAGGAGAGTCAGAGAAAAATCTGCAGAAAGACTTAGTAAGATAGAAATGACAGTGAATAATATGAAACAATGTACAAAAAAGGAAAAGGACAAAGGAGGCTAGGATGAGAATATGTAATTTATTTCACAATTTTGATTTCCAGGCCACTATATGAGGAAAGTAATAACCTTTTAAAATAGACCACATAATTTTTCAACAGCAATAGCTAATATTTATATCTCACTTACTATATGTTTGGCAGTATTCTAAGTGCTTATTAATTAATTCATTTAATCCTCATGAGGACACTCTAAGTACCATAATTATCTCCATTTAGCAGGTAAGAAATTAAAGCATGGAAGAATTAAGTAACTTGTTTAGTAAGTTACAAAGCAAGGATTAAAAGCCAGTAGGAATCTGACTCCAGAGTTCTTGCTCCTAACTATTCCACTATATTGCAAAATTCAGTCTCATTTTCATGTTTTTTCTAGGATTAAGGAGACATGTTACCCTGACATCCCTGACCCTTACAAGAGCAGCATCCTGTCATTAATAAAATTCAAGGTAAATGTTGGCAAATTATATGTATGCCATATACCTATTAAGGACTAACCCAGAGTGGGAGCTGTCAGAATCCTATTTTCCTAGAGTTTCTAAGGAAAATATAGCACAGTAAAAGCCACCTCTGCACCCACAGCCATGAAATAGGTGATTGAAGCTTTGATTTCTTCTGTCAGGGGAAAGGTTTTCGTTTTCAACATCACCTCCAGGTTATTTGTGACCCGGAAGAAACATAAACATTGAAGCTCTAAGTGTATTTCACATGCTTAATATACTTCGATGCATGCACACACACAAATGTTTATATTTACATATTTTTTTTTCCTTTTTAGGAGAAACCTCACCTAACAATAATGAATGTCAGTGACTGTATTCCAGATGCTATCGAAGTTGTAAGCAAGCCAGAAGGGACAAAGATACAGTTTAGGAAGTCACTCACAGAAACTGAGTTGACTAAGCCTAACTACCTTTACCTCCTTCCAACAGAAAAGAATCACTCTGGCCCTGTCCCCTTCATCTGTTTTGAGAACTTGACCTATAACCAGGCAACTTCTGACTCTGGCTCTTGCGGCCATGTTCCAGTACCCATGAAACCTCCCCCAAGTCAGCTGGGACTAATGATCTCACCTGAAAATGTAAAAAAGGCACTAGGAAAAAACTACATGAACTCCCTGGGAGAAATCTCAGCTGGAGGAACAAATTTGAATTATGTGTCCCAGTTGGCTTCACCCATGTCTGGAGACAAGGACAGTCTCCCAACAAATCCAGTAGAGCCATCAAACTGTTCAGAGTATAAAAGGCAAATGGCAGTACCCCTCTGTCTTGCCTCGCCTCCCCTGACCGAGAATAGCAGCCTCTCCTCGATTACCCTTTTAAATCCAGGTGAGCACTACCGCTAACCAGCATGCCAACTGCATACCTTATGCTACACAGACATTAAGAGGAGCAGAGTTGCCACCCTCTCATCACTGGTGGCCTTGGTCCTTAATCCCATTACGATTTGCAGTCTGGTTTATGTAAGAGTACTACAATCTGGCTAGGTTAAAGGCCAGAAGCTATGGAATGTTAACAATCCCTGTTGGAGGAGGCTTGCCCTAGAAATGGCAGGATCATGGGAGCATGCTTACCTTGCTGCTGTTTATTCCAGGCTCACCTTTAGAACGGGAGACTTGAGCTTGACATAAGGAAATGCATTAACCACTCCACAGACTCCCACTCAGTACTGTACAGGATGACTGTGGTCCTGTAAGGTTACTGAGGAAATATTTTCGTTAGAAACAATTATTAGATTGAAGGCTTCAATAAAAGCCACAGGAGACTTATTCCTACAGCATAAATTGTCAATGTAAATTTACTGAGTGTGTTTAATTAAAAACTCACAGATGTTTGAGGCCAAAACAGATTTTAGACTCCCTTGAAGGGATAAGAATCTATAGTTCATTGACACGGTAAAATTAACTCTGTGGTGGAAGAGGGGACGTAGATCTAATCTAATACGTAAACTGTGTGATGAATCAACAAGATTTCTACAATTCCATCAAGTTTATTACCGGGAAAGAATGGGACTGGCAAAGAACTACTTACTGTCAGTTACACCTCGGCTCCATAGTCATCAGTATTCTACCATAATTTTTTATGACTACCTCAGAACAGAACATAAAAAGGAAAATATATCACATAATTCCATTCAGTTTTTGGCTCCTCTTTTCTTTCAAGAACTATATATACATGACGTGTTTTCACTTAGCATCCTTTGGACTCTGTAGTAGGTTGCCTGGGTCAAGATAACTGTCACATTTATATTCATATTATACTAAAATAATAAGTAAAATGAAACCTGTTGCTGTACATAATTTAGATATAACTAAAAAGTTCTATGGAGTGGGAAATTCTGTGTTGGCTTTGGAGCAACTTTGTCTCCTCTGAACCAATATATGCAAATCACTTGGTACACAACTAGTGTTTAGTACATGTTAGTTCTTCAGATGGGGCAATCTCAGCTCACTGCAGCTTCTCCCTCCTGGGTACAAGCAATTCTCCTGCCACAGCCTCCAGAGTACCTAGGGCTCCAGGTGCACACCACCACACCTGGCTAGTTTTTGTATTTTTAGTAGAGATTGGGTTTCACCATGTTGGTCAGGCTGGTCTTGAACTCCTGACCTCAAGTGATCTGCCTGCCTTGGTCTCCCCAAGTGCTGGGATTATAGTCATGAGCCACCACACCCAGCCTTATTTGTCACATTTTTTTTTATTTTTTGAGACAGAGTTTCACTCTTGTTGCCCAGGTTGGAGTGCAATGGTGTCACCTCAGCTCACTGCAACCTCAGCCTCCCAGGTTCAAGCAATTCTCTTGTCTCAGCCTCCTGAGTAGCTGGGATCACAGGCATGCATCACCATGCCTAGCTAATTTTGTATCTTTAGTAGAGGAGATGGGGTTTCACCATCTTAGGCAGGTCTCGAACTCCTGACCTCAGGTGACCCGCCCACCTTGGCCTCCCAAAGTGCTGGGATTACAGGCATGAGCCACCACACCTGCTGTCACATTTCCTGCCTGCCATCAGCATTCAATGGCTCTGCCTATGCTCGTGCCTCTAGTGCCCACTCCCTTGCACTGTGCCATTCAACACTATGAAGAGAAACAAGTAGCCACACCTCAAAATAATGTGGCTGTCAACTGGCCTAAATAAACCTATACAAACCAGTACTTCTGTTTGAGCTTTTCTGCTTTTGCCTTACAGGTAACTAAGCCTTTAGCTGGAAACATTGCTCCTCACATAGTACGAAGTGGTATCCTAATTAGTCTAACAGTTGTGTTAGACTTTAGGGCCAGTGTTGTCAGCATTTATTTACATACCTTTGTCATGATGGGGTATTTTTCATTTGAAACTTGTTCACAAAAATGTCAATGACATTGATGACTGATTTGTACATATTTTTCATATAGTTTTTAAAAAATAATTCACACAAAACTTTGAAGTCATTTTTGCTATTGCAATAAACCTTAAAATATTTCATCATCACATTGTGTTTATCTCCCCCAATGAAATGAAAATCTAGTAATTACTCAGTTTAGATGATCATCACCTCATGAACATACTAAATAAAAATGTACATTACTGGGTATGACTACAAGCCTCTTAATCAGAATCTTTGGGGCATGGACTTGGAGTCTATTTTTCATCAGTTCCTAGGCATTCAGATACACACTAAACTTTGAGAATCACTGGCCTAAATGAAGTCTTTCTGAAATAGAACATGCCAATAGGAAACGCTGGGCTATGTAACTTTTGTCTTCATAATATCACTATGGCCTATAGTCTTGGCTGTAAACATTTCCTCTTCAATGTTCATAACCAAGTTAAGTTCATGTTCAAAACCTTAGTTTTCAATTCTATATGCCATCTTAACATGGCTTTAAGAAGTGTTATTTGGAAACTTTGAAATACACATTCATGTGTCAGAAAAATGGAAAATTTCAAATACACTCCAAAGTAGAATAGTTTAATAAACCTCTATGTATCATCTCCAGCCCCAACGGTCACTACCCACCATTTCAGCTCCATCCATACCCCTGTGTGCTCTTCGTCCTTACATTATTTTGAAGCAAATCATGACTTCATGTAAATATGAGTTTCTCTAAATAAGCTCTACTTTTTCTAATATAGTCATAATACTATTTAAAAATTGCATATAAAATCACAATGCCTTAAAAACATCAGGATATTTGGGTGGACAGGACTAGCAGTAATGGCCTTTAAATCCTACATCAGCCTGTGCATGGTTCTCACCTGTGTGCAGAAGACCTCTATGATTCAGGATGGGAGTTGGGACCTCTTCACACAACAGTCATACACCTGCTGAAACGCTTCCTACATTCAAACACCTAATTAATTCATACTAAGTAGGGTCAACCTCGTTGCCTACTTGACTGCTAAGATCGTCAAGGCTTAATATCTTGTTAACACTCCTAAGAATTCTGTTGAAAGATATGCTTTCATCTCAAATAATTTACAAAACATGTTAAAGCACTCTGCATAAACTAGAACTTTTAAAACACTGCAAGAGAAACAATAGAAGATAAAGTTTTCATAGCTGTCAGTTAAAATGTTTTCAACACAATAGATATATTCAATTTGAAAGCATAGTTGCTTTATTCCTCTAAGCATTAAGGAAAGTTTTAGTACATTTTAGTTTTTAAAATCAATATTGAAGTAGTACATATTTTGGGGCATTTTATATGCTAAAGAGTTTTAAAAATGAAACAATCTTTTCCAAGTTTGGCATATTAGGACTTTTTTCAAAAGATCAGCTGCATGCTGATTATAAGTATGATTTTTAGTTTATTTTGGGGCCAACTAAGTTTTCAATGACATATAGAGTGGAAGACATTGGGAAAAATGATACACAGAAATTTGCCAAACTATCCGAAACAAAATGTTTCTTGAAGTGAAACATGTAGTTTACCATATTTTATTAACAGATCCTACACTTTGACACTCAACTTTATTCTCCAGAATTGGTCATTTCTGTGGTATTGTCTTTTGCCAGTAAGTGGTTGTAGGTAACCTTATCCAATCAGGGCAATTCATGCATGAGAAATTAAATACCTCCCACAGATGTCACCAATGTCATATCATCATTTATAATATTGTACATTATTTCCTCAAAAAATTCAGAGCTGTTTTATCTAAAGATGTTGACCCATTTTCCAAATTCCATGTCTTTAACAGATTTTTTAAAAACTCCGAAGATGTTTGATTAAATTACAAAGTGTTTAAGGAGAGTATTGCTTTGAAATATTTGTCACAGCTACTTTGTCTGTGGGACCTGAAAGTCACTTTTGCTTGTAGTCTCACATATGTCAGCATCAGCATTACAGGACTCAAATCAAGGCCATATGACTACTGACTGTTTTAAGATTTCAAATGAAACAATGGCAAAGAGTTTAAGAATTTTAAGTACATTTTATTAACAATGTATCCCTTTGATAAGATTATGCTTCAGGAGGCTTTTAATGCCGTTGACATAAACTGTACACATTATACAAAAACAAGAAAATCACAACAAAAAAATCAAGGTGAGCAAAACCATTTGGGGACAAATCTTATTTAAATTATACACAGCTCGATGAAATATTCTTACAGAAAAAATATAAATACTTTTTCTATGTTACAGTTATACAATATAAATCAGATTTCAATGTCTGTTCAGTGACCTACAAACATCAGAACCTCCAAATATGTAGCAGCGTATTACTAAATAATAAAGAAGAAAATTGTGGTTAGAGAGCATTAAGTCTGAGATTTTTTTCATAATTCCTTACCACTTTTCAAAACTAATTTACACCATTTGTTTTACAATGCAGCTTTAGGGTTTCTGACAGGCATTTTTCTAACAATTCCCTATAAAATTTTTTTCACTCCCCCTCTATGCCGCAACACTTTGCATTTTGTGCTAAATCAACCAAGTAGCAAAATTGAAAGGTATGCTGTTTTTTTGGCATAAATTATATTTTTGAAATTAAATATTTTATAAAGAAAGCAAAACGAAATGTGCAATTTATGCATGCTGTAGTACAGCTATCCGATACTTACATTACAAAAATACTCCAAATGGGAAGAAGTCCACATTCTGTGAGTCATATAAACCTAGTAGGAATGAAAAATACCCTGGAACTTAGAACTAAAAGAAAAAAAGAATGCTCCTAGAAAGATTCTCACAGATTTCAGTGTTCTTTGATAAGCACTGCTATTAATTTCACTGGTATGCTTTTTAATGAGATTCTCACTGTAATGACACTCTTGAGATTAAGATAGTAACAGTGTATTTTGTTAATCCAGAGACAACGGCGACTTTTTCCAACTTCCATTTTGGAAAATCTGAAATGTTGGTTCATTCCAAACAGCTTTTCCAATAAAAGTCTCTCAATTTTACCTTTTCTTTTTTTCCCATGTTTTAATGGATTGTGAATCTGAGACAAAACTGGAAGCATAACAGTAAAGGGGGAAATAAAACTTACTTCCAAAGAACATTTTCCAATGTACTTTATAAAGTTCATCTCACACAAAATTAGCACCTCACTCTTACCATGCGAAAATAACTGCAGTTATAATTTGAATGACAGACAATTTGGTTTTTATTGCTTAGTGATCTGTGCTTTAATGAGGGGATAAAAGGCATCCTCTGAATGGAATAACGTTTTATATAAATAGCAGTAGGCAAATCTAAATAAGCACTGACATCCCACTGTTGAACACTTCACCATTGTGATATGCCCTGAAAAATTCAGCTTTAATTATCTCAAGCTCTAGATAAAAGAGCTGAAACCCATAAAAGCTGTCATTTCAAAAGGACTTGTACACATTGTTATAATAATGTATACACTTCCAAAGAACCTTTTTAAATGTCACTGTCATACAGAATGTCATTATTCTACTAATATTTATTAGAAAAAATTTAATTAGAATAGACTGTTTTCCCCTTCAAATCTAAAAATAAACAGGAAATAAAGGTTTAAGAAATTTTAGAACATATATAATTATAAATACTAAATTTCTAATTTCCTTATTTATCAGTATTTAGTATGTGAGGCTGAAATCTGTTCTTGAAAAAAGTTTAATTAGAAGTAACAATTCACTTTATGATTAGAAATTCACAGTTTATAACCAGCACGACTGCCCAAATTCCTCCAAATTATTCAATAATTACCAATAGTACAAATTTATATGGACTAAGATTAATCCTAAAATCTTTAAAAACTACATTATTGACATTATTTTGGTATTCTATAGTCTGCTGTATCTATTATTTATAGATGATTTTCTCAATTATTTCTATTACTGCTGATATCATTCCTAACCACTTCTGCTATAATTTAATATTTTTAAACACCTAAGTTAATCACTTGGCACTGCATGTATTTTTCACCATAAAGTCTACTTTTTACAAACAAGTACTCAAAGAAAATGTATTAGACCTGTCAGTGAAACCACGGAGAAACCAAATAGCACTATAAATTTAAGCATAGACTTTTTTTTTAAAGTATACTGATAAACACAAAGCTCTGAGTATCTCCCTAAATTAAGTGATATAGGCAGATACCATAATGTATACATACATATTTCTCAAAGTAACAGTTTAAAAAAAAAAACAACCTATTCAGGCAATAGTAACAGCTTTATTTTAGGACAGATGACCAAGGTGGGGGTCCAGGGACAGTGATGGTGGGGGAAGGTGTGTGTGTGTGTGTGTGTGTGTGTGTGTGTGTGTGTAAGACAAAAAAAATTACTGTTCACTTTTGAGGGATGAAACCACAGATTTTATTGTCTATATTAACTGAGGTAGTGTTTAAAATGAACGTCTAAAATATGTTAATCCCATTATGAATAAGGTAACTACATGACTTCCTTTGGAGGTTTTAACCACTATTTGGTCTAGTAACTCTGACATTTGGTTCTCTGGAAAGGCAGTTTAGTTATCCAAGACCAAGGACCACGGTGACAGGCAACATTCTTAGAAGTACTGTTGACATTTAAATAAACACTTGGGTTCAGGGATAAAGTATAAAAAATTATTTATCTTCAATTGGATTTTATGAGAGAAAATCTGAAGAACCACTTTCAACATAAGCAGCAGCTTACAGCCCTTATCTGCTTTGTTACAATGTAAGTTGCTACACAGTGCACATAAGAACAATTCACTGAAGTGCAGTCAAAGAGGTGTTATAAAGTGAGATGAAATGCTTCATCCCAACTGGAACTTTCAGTGCCAGTAAATACATTTTTTAAAAAAGTATCTCTGTGAGTTCTGTTTTCTAGTTCACAGGGTTCTTTACAGAGATCTCAAAGAATGAACCCATTACAAAAAGGATCTGCAACATGGGAAAATATTAATCAATGTTGCTATGACTGTGTCAAAACTGATGTGTAATTGTAATAAAAATGTTATACGCAAATGAATTAAAAAAGAATCCTAATCAGTCCAGCTGGATTTTCTATTTCTATTTATATATAGATCTCAAAAAAGATAATCCTTTCATTTACAAGCATTCAAATGATAATGGCCATGCTATTTTTATATACAAATTTGCATATATGTTTAATTCCTGTAAAAATTTCCAAATACCTTTAGACATATACAAATTAAACAAACAAAAACCTTGCCCTCATCAGCTTAACTTCACAAATGGATAAAGGCAATTAATACACTCACAAACCCACCTATCACTGCATTTAGTTTGTGCAAAACAAAAACACTGATACAAAAATTAAGTTACGGCTGCTTTAAAATTTGGTACTTAAGGCTTTTCACTACAATTTTTCTTAGTAACAAGCTTTATTAATGATTTTTCTTAAAGGAAATATGGCTCTTCTTTCCCCATGGAATGTGTAAATTGCAGGCAAACTTATCTTTTCCTCAGGAGATCCAAAGTATTATTTAATGCTTTCCTTTTCTTTAGGTCTGAACTAATAGTGCTTGTTCAAGTTCCTGTTTAAAGCAATGCGATGGAAAGTTGATGAAAGTGAAGTCCACTGCAAATATATGCATTCTATAAATGGGAAAAATTTTTATTAAAATAAAAAATGATTTTTAAATTTTATTCAAGAACTGTAGTGAAAAACCTTAATTGGTTCATATATCCTGTAATGACACATTGCAACAAAATGAAGAGATGGAAAACAAGAATCTTTATGCAAGTCTAGTAACATAAAAATAACTTATAAGTCCCGGGTTGTTGAGGCTCTTCTTTCGCTTTGAGGTTATAAACCCCTGAAGTAGTGTTACAAACATTAAGAAAAATGTGAAAGGGCCAAAATTCCCTCTCTAATACCAGCAGTTACAGCACACCCCATTGTGTAAGATAATGCAGCCTCAGAGACACTGATTCCTGGTTTCCACAAATTAGTTAACAAGGCATCTGTAATTTACCCGAAAAATAATCCAGAAATACCTGTGAAGGGTGCTTCTGCATATCCCATTATTGTTCCACTGTCATTATGCTTTTAAAATGAAAAAATAGAAAACTTATGTAGGTATTCAGTGCTTGGCTCTTGCATACAATGTTAACTAAAACTCTTTAAATCTGTGGTAATGAATCATGAACCCCTCAAAAGGCTCAACAAGGGAGAGAAGGAAGTTGTTTTGGTTAGGGAAGTCAGCAGTTCCAACTGCTCATGTACCAGTAACTGTGGAACAGTGTACAGAAGATACTCCTGTCTTTGCTGCCCAGTCGTATTTTCTGAGGCTTTTAGGAAATAGATATATAGTATATATCTATATCCATAATAAATATGAGGTCAGGATTCAGCAGATGTATCAACTATAGGTTGCTTTGGTGGTGTTGCCAACACAGCCTCTGCTTCTTCATGCATCTAGAGAAAAAATGGTGTATCATTAATGACTTTTATAAAAATAGATAATATAGCATGTATTTATTTAAATTATATTTAAAAAATTTTTTTCAGATAGTGTCTTGCTCAGTCTTCCCAGGATGCAGTGCAGTGGCACAATATTTGCTCACCACAACCTCTGACTCCTGGGCTCAAAGGATCCTCCTACCTCAGGCTCCCAAGTAGCTGGGACTACAGGCACATGCCACTACCCTTGGCTAATTTTTAAAAGAGTTTTTGTAGTGACGCAGTCTCACTATACTGCCCAAGGTGGTCTTGAATTCCTGGGCTCAGGCGATTCTCCCACGTTAGCCCCCCGAAGTGCTGGGATTTAGGCATAAGTCACCATACCGCACTATAATCTCTCTTTTAATTCAATTCAAACAGAGATTTATTCTTGGAAGATAAATTTGAGAAGCACTAATCATACTTACTTGTAGGAACTGTACATCTTGAAATAATTCTTGTATGAACCTCCGACATGGAAGTCTGAATGTGCAGTGTGACAGCAAATGGGAAACCTCAGAGTAAAGGCAAATGTCATCAAATGTTTGAGGATACTTCTCCTTAATTCTAAAATGAAAGAAAAGATTATGGTGTGATGAAAACTGTAATCATAATGTATCTATTTTTATCTCCAAGATATCACTTACTTTAAAAAACAGATTTCCCTCCAGATATGGATTAGATGGAATACTTGGGGTGATGACTTCAGAATATAAAATACAGGCCAGCCAGGCACAGTGGCTCATGCCTGTAATCCCAGCACTTTGGGAGGCTGAGGTGAGTGGATCATGAGGTCAGGAGTTTGAGACAGGCTGGCCAACATGGCGAAACTCCTTCTCTACTAAAAATACAAAAATTAGCCAGGCGTGGTGACGTGCGTCTATAATCCAGTTACTCAGGAGGCTGAGACAGGACAATCGCTTGAACCTGGGAGGCAGAGGTTGTAGTGAGCTGAGATTGTGCCACTGTACTCCAGCCTGGGTGATAAGAGTAAGATTCCATCTCAAAAAAAAAAAAAGTATATTAAATATTTCGCTCACACACTTAAATTAGATATTCTGAGTTAGGGGTTTAAAAAAAATGATTATCAAAACCTGAATACTTCTTGTAAAGTTAAAACATTCTTTTTCACTGGCATGAAAAATTTCAAAATGTATTCATCAGCCTAGGATGATTAAAATATTTTCAAAGTAAGTTTTAAAATAGAAATACATTTTTCAAGTTACATTGAAGTTATTAACATCCCTGACTGGGCTATTTCTTTGAACGCTTCAAATAGTAGCTTTTAGCTGCAAGAGCACCTCAGAATCAACTGTGGGTTGGGTGGGTGACAAGTTAAGGGCCCGCTCATAAAGATCCTGGCCCAAAGGTCTGCTGTGGGACCCTGATACCTATGTGGGACCACAAAACCTATTATCACCCTTAAAAAAAGCCCTGCAACTGTCCGGGGTCAGTGGCTTATGCCTGTAATCTCAGCCCTTTGGGAGGCCAAGGAGGACGGATCACTTGAGGTCAGGAGTTCAAGATCAGCCTAGTTAACACGGCAAAATCCTGTTTCTACTAAAAATACAAAAATTAGCCGGGTGTGTTGGCACACACCTATAATCCCAGCTACTCAGGAGGCTGAGGTTGCAATGAGCCAAGATTGCGCCACTGCACTACAGCCTGGTTGATAAGTTCAAGACTCTGTCTCCTGGGGAAAAAAAAAAAAAAAATAGCAAGCTCTACAGGAGACCCCGAGGTGCACTTTTTTTGGTTTTTTTTTTGAGAACCACTGCTTTAAATAATAAGAAAAAAATTAAACCAAGAAAATATGATTTGTTACATAAACCCACTTTCCTTATTTGGTCTCAGGACTTTCTTTCTTAAAAACTACTGAGGACCCCAAAAGTTATTTTTGTGTGGGTTATAGCCATCATTAACTACTATATTAGAAATTAAGAGATTTCCCTAATATGCATTAATTTATTTAAAAAATAAATCCATTACATGTTAACATAAATAACATAATTTTAATAAAAATAACTGTATTTCCAAAAGTAAAAAAGTGAGAAGAGTGGCATTATTTTACACGTTTTATAGATGTCTTTAAAAGTCTGGCTTATAAGAAGATAGCTAGATTCTTACACTTGCTTCTGCATTATGTGATGTGGTTTAGAACTACTGATGTAAGTTAACATGCCTAACTTTTGAAGTATATCAAGCATCTTTTCTCAACTTAACAGTATAAACAAATAATACTTATGCATATGGTTTACTCACGTTAAAAGCCCAGTCTCATGACATTTAGTTGAAACTGAACTACTCAAATTAATGACTAATCTTAGAACTTCTTTGCGAAGGAGTATACGGCACATTGGTGTATCATCTGGAATTGTTTTAACACCTGAAAAGATTGCAGTAAGAAGTTAAATACTATCTATATCACAACAAAAAATGCTTATGACTCATGAAATTTATTTTTAAACTTCACCTAAAGACCTAGAACTGAGATCAATTACACAAGCTCTGCCAATCATTTCAGGAGCAAAACTCTAATAAAAGCAGTTAGCTAAGAGGCTCTGTCAGTGGGTGATATAGGTGCAATATTTAACAGTGTTAAATTGCTCCACTAAAATAGATATATTATCGTTTTGAGACAATTTTAATTTACAGTATTTATGAAAAACAAAACCAACTAAAAACGGTTTTATTAATAATGATTGGATTTGGATCTGAATATTCACCTAGTAACAATTCTGTGCTTTTGGTGCTGCTAGCTGAGCCTTCTTGGGACACCCCATCACTGCATCCAGAGATCCCCGAAAACTTGGAGGGAACCACTTCTAAGGGATTATGGATAGTCTGCTCACACCAATCAGAATATGGAA